GTGTTTGTTGAAACTAAATAAATATTCATTCATTCGTTCGTTCTTCCACTCTCGTAATAGGCTTCTAAACTTAGTAAGTTTAAAATCCCCTTCGACAGATGGCGTTGTCTCGTTTGAAATCGCGCTATCGGTTTACCATGGGGTGCTTTCAAAAGGGAAAACTCCGGTCCTCTCACTAGACATTTAAAGCCGCACGCTAGTTTATCATTTTACGAAAAATTTTTGAAAACGCTTCAGTTTTCTAACGAGAACACAAATGGAGCGTTTGAAGGTTGATGTTTATCCACGTATAACTACATCTTTAGGTTTTGACGTAATAAGGGAAAAGAATTGGGTTTAAAAACCAAAAGGGTTGTAAGGTAAAGTAATTTTTGGCATAGTTATTTTACTTATCGTTGTCGTTGCCTGGGCGAAGTTCAGGGAGATGTATTCAAATATTATTTGTACTTTATTTTAATATTGCTGTGGTTATATAGTTAACTCTATTATAGGAATACTTAATGATAAAGTGAAAACTTGAATAACTGAATCGGAAGTGGATGATAACAAAATAAAAGTAACTTTAATAAGAAAAGCTGGAATATAAAAAATGGAAATAACACAAACATTTTACGTATTTGCGTCGCGATGCATTTCAAACAACTATACTTATAAAATTGATTATTTTAAAACAGAAAAAACAGTATCATTAAATTTATTTACAAAGAAATTGAGCAAGATTTGTGATATTCTCTTGTAAATTTACAAGGAAAAAGATATTAAAACTTACAACGACTTTTAGTAACTTTAAATAGTAACAAAATTTATACTTACGATGAATTATAAATGAAATTGCACAAAGATTCCCCTAGTCGTAAAGATTATGTACATAACATTGTTTTTCATTGAAGTTTAAATGCCATACTGATTATAACTGCAAAGGAAATTCTTGTCGTCAATGGATTGCAAAAAATAATCCCGACTTCCATTTTCATAAACTTAGGCTCTACAATTTTTTTAAGAATATCGCCTTTTTAGCAGTATTGAAAGAACAAGAAAAGTATAAAATTAAACTCTTGTAGCAATATTAAAGGCATCAACGAAAGCATAAAGAAAATTTTAATTTAAAAAAGAATTCTTATAATAATCAGTCATTATTTATTCATCGCATAACAAAATTCACTCTACATAAATTGTCTAAGTTGGCGTAACAAAAATAAATAAATAAAAATGTGATAAGTGATAAGGTAATAAAACCGCGACGTTACTTCACTTCCCAGCATTGCTACCACTGATCATATTAGGCCTACTCTATTTTAATTACCGTCACCGAAAATGGCTGCCTACCCCACAGCGGCGGGTGCTCCTTGAATTCGCGACCCCAATATGGACCATGGTTCGTTTAACAACACTATTTATTTAACAATTCGGTTGCGAAACAGTTGTCTACACTACACTACAATAATAACCATTGCTTCGTTTATAAGAGACCATAGAACCAGTGGATTACGTCATAATATAAATTAAGGGCATATACACAAAATTATCTAGTACTAAACCTTGTACCTACTGTGAGTAATAGGTAACTGATGAACTAACAAAATATACTTTTTTTAATAAATACTTTATTAATATGTATATGAAAACAGGTTTATGAAACATATATTTAAAAAAAAAATTATCATCTGTTCATCAGTGTAAAAACATCGAGATCAAATCAGAAATCCGCAGTGGGGTCGCGTGGTGGACTATGCCGATACACCGGTTATGGCAATTGGCTATTACTAAAAGGTATCTCTGATATTTTCGAGGCGCTGAAATTGCGACCGATCCATGTCGTACGTATATGTTACTGACAATGTCATTAAATGGTGGCTATATACAGGAGCCCGATATTATGAATATTAACTAAGTTTCATGGGTAATATGATAAATTCATCACTTATTTATATACAATATAGCTAAGATATTATTACTGCTATGACAATAGCAGTGATAAGTTAATCTCTTGTAATAAAACATCAACAGTTTTATGATATCTGTCATATATGTCTAAAACTGTCTTATGCCCGGTTTCTGAAACACTGACCATCATAAAAATTAACTAATTAGCTGTCAAATGGCTTTTCAAATGTCATTTGAGTTGCGAAAAGGATGGTTAAACACTGAATTGATCGTTCTAATCATTAGGAAGAACAACTGACTATGTATAAAATTGTTTTTGCCTGATGGAGAAAGCACGCACTGCATGCAAAAAATCCACACGATGACAGAACTCCACCAACTTGATTTTCAACCTTAACCCAAATATTATAAACGTTGAATGAAAGTTCACTGGTGAGTTGTTGTTGTCATTAATAAATTTCAACACTTATTTTGATTTTACAAATACTTATTAATTATTAACTGCTTTGACAATAGCATGATGAGTTAATCTCTTGTAATAAAACATCAACAGTTTTATGATATCTGTCATATATGTCTAAAACTGTCTTATGCCCGGTTTCTGAAACACTGACCATCATAAAAATTAACTAATTAGCTGTCAAATGGCTTTTCAAATGTCATTTGAGTTGCGAAAAGGATGGTTAAACACTGAATTGATCGTTCTAATCATTAGGAAGAACATTCTGCCAACTGACTATGTATAAAATTGTTTTTGCCTGATGGAGAAAGCACGCACTGCAATGCAAAAAATCCACACGATTTCGACAGAACTCCACCAACTTGATTTTCAACCTTAACCCAAATATTATAAACGTTGAATGAAAGTTCTCACTGGTGAGTTGTTGTTGTCATTAATAAATTTCAACTTATTATTGATTTTACGCGAGTAAATACTTATTAATATGGATAGCCCTTGAAGCTAGTTGACAATCGATTTAATTTTTAAAAGCTATTTCAAATATTTCTTACGGTCGAATTTATTTATAGCAATCATTAAATTTGAAACCGTAAATTTAATTTTTTCCTGCCAAGTGCGAGTCGGACTCGCGAATGAAGGGTTGCCTACCATTATCTATAAAAACGGCGAAAAAATCATGTCTGTTGTATGGGAGCCTCAAAAAAATTTTTTTTTATGTTTTTTAGTATTTGTTGTTATTATAGCGGCAACAGAAATACATCATCTGTGAAAATTTCAACCGTCTTACTAATACGGTTCATGTAATACAGCCTGGTGACAGACGGACAGACAGACAAACAGGCAAACAGACAGCGGAGTCTTAGTAATTGGGTCCAGTTTTACCCATTAGAGTTAAAGAGCAGAGTTTGTTTTTTTGAACTCGCTAATGTCTGGAACTACAAGTCGGATTTGAAAAAAATCTTTTTTGCATTTGATACCCCAATTCTTGAGGAAGGTTATAGGGTAGGTAACATGTCGCCCTCCTGAAATCTGGCAACACTGCCACTAGTCTGCATGATAGTTGTCAAAGTGGAACTTGGGGGACGGTCCCCGCGGCACAACAATAATTTCATCAAATACTATGCAGCACATTTCAAACAACACTACAAAGTGGATTACAGGCCGCAAGGGACCCCAAAGTATCAATTAGTTGACTCCACAGCCGATCTGTTTTAGGAGACGCCGGATGGGCTTATGCAAGATTGAATTATTATTATTTTTTTATGTGAGGAAGTGGCAAATGAGCTGGCGGTTCACCTGATGTTAAGTGATAACCGCCTGCCCATGGACATTTGCAACACCCGTAGGGTTGCAGATTCATTGCCACCTCTTAATAATGTGGGCTCCGGCTACCTCACTCACCAGGCGAAACGCACAGAAATGCAACACTTCTACTTTACGCCGGTCTTCTGTGAGGTCGTGGTACTGACCCGGACGGACCTGCCCATTCGTGGAACAGCGAACACTGTTGCGTGGTCCTACCACCGTATTTATACCTATGTAAGTCATGTAACAACGCTCTTTGTTTTTTTTATGTAAAAACTTGGTAAAGCGAGCAGACCTGTTCACGGATGTTAAGTGATTACCACGCCAATGTATATCTACAGCTCCCCCAAATACCTCACCCACCAGACGAAACGTTAAAGTATACCACTTTCACTTCACACCGGTCTTATGTGATGTTTTTCTCGCTTTTAATTTAGTTTTCTCAAGCAACTCGTAATCAAATCTCCGGTGCCGGCACCAACTCGTAGATGAAGCAAACATCGTGAGGAAAGCTAAATGTTTTACAACTAAGAACAAGAAAATATTTCCAAGATATGTGACATAATATGTCCTGGGCATATATATTATATAGGCTGTGACTTTACTTTTACCACTGCTCTTTCAAAGATTTCCAACGCATTTGCAACGTTATAAAAACGTAAAAAAATTCTTCATTGACATAAAATAATAATTGTTTTTTTTTACAGAAAAAAATTATTAATTTTTATTTATGTCAAATTTAGATAAATAATGAAAACTGTTGACGTTGCGGGTTTCGAACCCACTAACCACTTAGCTTAGTTTAGTTAAGTTTCATCTTAAGTGCGGGGACTAGCACTAGACATATAAAATTGTAATTATTAATTATCTATTATAGTATATTTTACAGACCATATTAAGATTACAAATGTAATAAGAAAATAGATTTTTTTTTCAAATTCTAAATCATTACAGGTAAATGAACTGAATTTTTTTCTCAGGCTGACTTTAATTCTTTGCACTTTCGCATAACGACGTCCCCAGTTAGCAGAAAGGAATGGCCCATCGAGGGTTGAATCTGTAACCGATATGTATATTGACACCAATTGAAACTGTCACCCCGACAGCTGGGCTCAGCGCTCAGAAATGGCACAGATTAAATAACGCGTTAACGTGTCATTTAATCTCACATTGACAAGCAATGGTGATTTGATATTTATAGCAACTACGTTAGGGTCACGCGTCCGTCTTACCTAGCAGACCAACCACTGAGGATAAAGTCCATAGATGGCCTCACGCGTTAAACGAAACTATAAAACATACCATAGATATACTGTGGTAGGGCCACGCAAAAGTTTTCTGTGTTGCAAAAATGGGCAGGTCCGTCCGGGGAAGTACCACGACCTCACGGATGACTTGAGTCGCTGTGGCCGAAGTATCATACTTCTTTATTTTGTTTGGTAAGTGGGGTTAACCGGGGCCCACTTTATTAAAAGATGGCAACACATCTGCAACCCTACCATTTCCGCTATCATTTAACATTAGGTGAACCACCAGCTCGTTAGACAATTTCTTGCAATAAAAAAATCTTATTAGTTCCAAGGAATAAATTTCATTCTTGTGGAACTGTATTCGCGACGATAAAGAAGCTATTAAAATTAATAGCTATTTAATAAGCCTTTAATACGAGCGACCCGCCCCGGCTTCGCACGGGTGCCATGCTGAGTGTTTGTTTTCGACATTGCAGTAGAAACCTCTAAAATTATCAGTGTTTCTCTACAATATTATACTATAGTATTAAAGAAAAACGTATCAAAAGATTTAAAGATATAAGCATGTATAGGGACAGACAGACAGCGGCAGCGGGACGACTTTGTTTAATAGTAACTAAAGGCGAAATTATCATTAATTGTGAAAGTTGTTACACAGGATAATGACTTCCGCTTATTAACAGCGAACGTTCGTTTTATTGCGTGAATGCTTAACTCTCACTGATCTCGAAAATATGTTGTTGCGAAGCGTTTATTCAAAATTTTGTAGCATATGATTGGAGGTGAATTTCATTATAACACAAATTATACGCTCCGGTTGACACAGTTGCCAATGTTTAGCGCGTTTATTCTTTAAAAAAAAGGTAAAATATCAGCCTAAACGTGCCTAACCACAGCTGAGCACGTAATGTTAATTTTGTGTTTAAGTGTCTTAAACACAAAATTAACAATTTTATTGGCGCTGGCACCGGTATTTGGCTAACTCAAGAATAGCGATTATATTATGAACTGTGGTTGGACCACGCATAGTATTCGCTGTTGCACCAATGGGCAGGTCCGTCCGTGGAAGTAACACGACCACGCAGAAGACCGGCGTAAAGTAAAAGGGTTACACTTCTGCGTTTCGTCTGGTGAGTGAACTAGCCGGGGCCCACTTAAAGGTATCTTTTTATACATCTTTTTTTTTTGGTATCGGGGGGAAATCTTCCAAAGATACCCTCACATAACCCCGTCACGTTACATGACAGGGTTATGTGAGGTTCTTACCCACTAAAACCCCCTCGGTGGCCACCCTCTGTACGTTTGGATGAGACTCTGGTATCTACGGGGTTTGTAAATTGTCAATGGGCGGCGGTTATTACTTACCATAAGGTGAGCCGCCAGCTCGCTTGCCACCGTCTAACATAAAAAATAAACCATTTATTATTAATTTAAACGATGAGTCTATACTATAGATTTAACGTGTGTATGTTCTTATTATAAGAAACCGGTCAAGTGCGTGTCGGACTCGCGCACGAAGGGTTCCGTACAATTTTCTATAAGAATGTCAAAAAACCATGTTTGCTGTATTTTATTCTGTCTTTTTTGTATTTTTTGTTATAGCGACAACAGATATGCATCATCTGTGAAAATTTCAATTGACAATCACGGTTCATGAGATACAGCCTGGTGATAGGCGGACGGACAGACAGACAACAGAGTCTTAGAAATAGGTTCCCGTTTTACCCTTTAGGTATGGAGCCCTAAAAATAATGATTGTTTGAATAATAGCACGAACAAAAAAGCGTCATACCAAACATTATTCCTATTGTTACAGCGGCGGCATAAAGCTGCGTCAGCTGACGGACGGCCGCCATCTTATCCAGGTGATATACACGCCAAATGGCGTCATCCAGGACTGCGAGTACGTCACCGACACGAAGACCACCAGAAACTTCTTAAAAACCGTCAGGAAAGAGCTGAAGTTAGCGTTGGAGGAGCAAACGTACAAGATTCTGGGCGAAGACAAGGAGGCGGACGTCGGAAACGAGAGATTCTACCGCCATTTTGGCAATATGACTTTGAGGCTGTTGAAGGGCGGCGAAGGGTTGCCATCTAACATCGCGGAATGGCTAGATTACGACAGACTGAGGGTCGAATGCTTGGAGAGGCATGAGGAACTCACATATATGATGGCGAACAGGAATAAAGCTGGTGAACAGGCGTTGACGAGGTAAATTTAGAGAGACAATCTTACCCTCTATTTATAAGGAAATTATACGCTTTTCATTACCAATGAATATATAGATCGCGTAATTTTTTTTATTATTATTGTAAATGAAATAAATTATATGTTGTCTAATAAACTAAGTTCGCGTGGACTTAGTTTATTGTCACCAGCCGCAGCGATAATAAAAAAAGAAAGCGTATAATTCCATAACTGTATATGCTATAGACAGATTTTCCTTTCTTTACTTAAAATATTTTAAAAACGCACAACTTTTTTCACGAGCAACATCAATGCAACGACTTCTTTCCTAACCTCTGGTTTTATATCTCATATCGTATATGTTCATATTGTGACTAATATATTTCAGAATATGCATTTACATACTCATATTTTTTATATTTTGATATTTATCTTATATAAATTTGCAGGGTTGTCTAAACTCACATAATTGCACAATAATAATAATCGCACAGAAAGCAGAAATACCCAGCTATTCAGAAATTTATCTTGATTTATACGTGGACTCTGTTAATAATTGCAAAAAATTAAAAATAAAGCAATACCTACCTTTAACGGTGGTAGGGCCACGCAGCAGCCTCGGCTGTTGCACGAACAGGCAGGCCCGTTCGGATAAGCAACACGACCTCACAGAAGACCAGCGTAAAGTGCAAGTATGACAAATACTTTCGCGTTTCGTCTGGTGAGTGAGGTAGCCGGAGCCCAATTTTCAAAAAGTTGTCAACGCATCTGTAACCCACGGGTGTAGCAGATGTCCATGGGCGGCGGTATTCACTTAACATCAGGTGACTCGTCTGCTCGTTTGGCAACTTTTGGCATAAAAAAAATCGACATGTACTTATCATATTTTACATTTACATTTATCAGCCATTACTATCCCACTGTTGGGCAAAGGCCTCTTTCCATTTCTTCCACTCCTTCCTGTCGTGGGCTATAACGGAACCAATCCCTCACAAATGCGTCCAGTTCGTCGCGCCATCTCCGTCTGGGCCTGCCGCGTGCCCGTCTAACATTTTTTGGGACTCTTTCGGTAGTAGCTTTGGCCCAAAAGGTGTTAGGCATGCGGCAAACATGACCAGCCCAGTCAAAATTAAGTTTGTACTTATCATAATTTTATATATAGTGCTCGTTGTCAACTCGTGGTATGATTAAAAATCTGATCTGTCATCAATGTCACTAAACTCCATACCATTTTTCGTCTACATTAATGTGCCGAATTGTATTCTATAACATATATTATGTATCTACTAGCTGTCCCCTGCCCGCTTCGCCGGATCATCTTCTTTAAGCCAAAAAAAAAATATAAGTTCCGGATAAGTAATCACCAATGTAATACTAAAACCTTCTCCGATACTACATCTTATGATATAAGTATTATTCCGATCGATTCAGTAGTTTTTGCAGTATTACCGAACAAAAACATTCACACACTCTCCATTTATTAGTATAGATATTACTTTTCATCATTATCATTTTTTAAGCTATTGACATTTTATGTAATTTCCCGCGTAAACTAGACATAATTATTCTTATTCGATCTGGCCGTATAGATAGTTATAAGAAAAGTACGGCACGGCATCTAGACATATAATTATATAATCAAACTCTGTATCTATTTATTCGCGATTTAAATTTATATAAAAGTAAGATTAAACGTATCAAAAGTAAAAACTACAATAAGACTATGGCATGATATAATGCGGAATGCCATTAAATAAAACTCACAAATGTGCTCACTATTAATTGTATTTACATCAGAAGAACTTTAGATATGTTCACAATATTTTCACCCTTAAAATAATGTTATTGTTAACAAAGACAAGTCGACCGTTGTGTTCTCACTTCTCAGCGGCGAGTCTCGAGGCAGAGGTCACTCCCCGGTCGCCGACCAATCAGAGGCGACTCGTTTGCAAACCGCGAGTCGCGCGCTTTTGCGTGCTAAATTTAAAATAGACGCGGCGGTTGTTTTCATCCGCCACAAGACGATCGTAAATAATTTTTAACAGATCCTAAAAATGTTCATTACTATATTTATTATAGAGCACAGATTATTTATTTATATATATGGAATGAACAAAGAAAAAAAGTGTGTTGTGTGTGTATAGAGTACATGTGTTATAAGTGAATATTCGTTTGTTATATAAATCTCAAATCTGTAAGATTAATAAATTAAAGGATAGATATCACAGAATGAAAATGTCAGAGAATTGAAATAAGAATAGTGTTTTTTCCTGTGACTATTTCTCACGACGTGGCCTTGAAATTTTACTGTCGCGCGCGTGAAAAAATTTAGTTTTTATCGTAAATCTCTATCGTAATGTCATCTGATGTAAAGCTGAGATGTTCACAATTCTCTCCGTTTCTTATTCACTTTCGATGAGAAAGAAAACTTCGACAGCCCCGTGGCAATACACTTCGCGGCTCATTTAACTCATTCGCTATGGTACATCACGGAATAACTCCTATATTAGCTCCCGCCGTTACTCCAGCATCATAACCTATAAGCCAGCACGATTCACAACGACATCGCACAAGCGTTACGTCAATCGCCAATAAATGCCAATAAATGCCAATAAGATATAACTAACGGTCCGCGTACATACCATTAAAAGACAACTAACACCGTCTAAAACATATCTGCCATACGAAGACAAAATAACAAAACATAGAAACAAGCTGTTTATATATTCCTTCAAGTAAAAAAAAAACGGAAGCATAAATATTGTAACAAAGAAACTGGTTGCTTTGAAACGTCCTTAAATTCCCTCACTATTCACTAACTGCTCTTCCCAGCTTCACTGTGTCTTCGAGATCACTTCACCAGCAGCACTAGTAACAAACAATCAGCAGCCGAGGCCACGGCCGCCCTTCGTGAGAGCGCCGAGATGGCAACCCCACAGCACCAAACTAACACCGGCCCTGACCGCAGGTCGCGTCGCTCCTTCAGGGAGAATTTCATAGTGCCCGGCACTAAATGGTGCGGCGCCGGCCAGTTGGCCGCCAACTACGGCGAGCTAGGCGACGATAGGGCCGAGGACCGCTGCTGTAGGGCGCACGACAGCTGCCCCGCCAACATACCGGCACTAGGGAGGCGTTTCGGCCTCCTTAACTTTAGGCCGTTCACGATCTCGCACTGCCGTTGCGATAGGAGGTTGGTTCGTTTTTTTTTTTTTTTTTTTTTTTTTTTCGAAGTGAAAACTTTACAGTACATTGGGAAATTTTGGATCGGGAAAGATCCATAGGTTCTTTTTTTTTTTAAGTGATAACTTTACCTTACATGGGCTATTTTGGATGGGGCAAAATTCATAGGTTCGCCTCACCCACACAAAATTTTGATATCATTTGGTTTTCTATTTGATCCCCTTAAAATAAATTTCTAGTTAATCGAAAGATAGTATTTTTGTCGCGGAATTTGAAATTAATTAATAAAATGAACACTGAAAATTATTGATTATGAATTAAAATTGGTTTTTTAACTTAAATTTTAATTAGTGTTTGGTGATTTCAATTATTAATACTATAATTAATTTAAGAATTTAAAAAAATATGTTAGTTATTCCAGTTTTAAGTTTTCACTTCTGTCGTCTTATTTTTTCGCAACGGCCAGGATTTTTCACTATTTTTCTCTGTGTATTTGGGCAAGTCACTCAGTAATGTGTACGGTTGGGTTGACGGATGGTGTCTTGTGGTGTCGTGTGCCGCTTGGTGAAGGGTTTTGGTTTAATGGGTTCCTGACGACGCCAGTTAGATTGAAGGAAAGATGGTTCAAGTACAGGTTTAAGGATTAATAAAGCAACATTTATAAGATTTAAGAAGTATTATGACATACGAATTGTTGGCATTTTGAGTACGCCATACCATATTGGGACTATGCTTTGAAATTTTATAAATTTTCTTGTACGCGCGAATGATTTGTGGAATTTTTCTACAACTATTTCGTACTTTTTCTAAAAATTTTAATGTTTAATCTTAAGTGCAGAGATTAGCACTAGAAAAAAAAATTAAAAATTTCTAAGAAGCATTGGCGACATCTCCCGTTCAAATTATCGTTGTAAAACGATATTCGAAATTGTTTGTATGCTGGAAAGGATATGATAATGGATGCGCCAAGCATTGCTTCAAATGCTAAAAAACAATGTAGATAAAGATGTTGATATTTTCGTCGGTGTTGCAATCAGCCGTTTAGATTAGTGGCTAAAGCGTCATGTCGCGAATGCTGAAGACTTAGGTTCGATTCCTAGAGCGGCGAAAAAGTTTTTTTACTTTTTTCTACAAATTTTAATGTTTAATCTTGAGTGCAAAGATTAGCAGCATAAAAAAAATTAAAAGCTTAATTTCATGTCGCAATGGCGACATCCCCCGTTGTTTTTGACGATAATACCGAAGATAAGAAAACGATATTTGAAATCGTTTGTATGGTGTAAAGCATATTATAACAATAGATGCGCCAAGCATTTCTTGAAAAGCGAGAAAACATAACTACATAGTATAAAACAAAGTCGTCCCGTTGTCTGTCCCTATGTATGTTTAGATCTTTAAAACTACGAAACGAATCTTGATGCGTTTTTTTTACTAGATAAAGTGATTCAAGAGGAAGGTTTAATATATGTATAAACCGTGCGAAGCCGGGGCGGGTCGCTAGTTGTAAATAAAATATATTAAGATTTAATCAACCGTATTATCAAACTTCGTGTTTAAAGCGTCCGGGCGCAAATCTGGAAGACGTGGGTTTGATTCCAGCAGCGGCGAAAAACTTTTTGTCCTTTTTTTTTTCATTAAATAACGTCTCGATAGGTGTTCATGTTTAATTCCAATTCAAAGACAAAGGAGCCCTCATATTGTTCATACCATAAGAAAAACCGGACATTTCATTCTACCATATTTCACAAGCTCTATGCAGTGGTTTGTTGCGGTGCAAACAATTGTATCATATTTTTTGTTTAATTCTGTACAGTGAAAAACTCATTCAACGCAACTAGGGTTCGAACTTGGGGCTTTTCTATACTCTTATCCTTTGAGCAATAGTGTCTTTGAAAAAGTAATAATGGTGACAGCCCTAATTTAATAACAATATATAAAAAAGTGAAGTGATTTTTTTTTTCAAATAATTTCTGATCCTTCTCGATATGAACTATAAGTGTGCGAAATTTCATACTCCTCCGTCAGGGTAATTCTTATTAAAAGGGGTACAACGTATTAATAAATAATATAATTGGCTCTGCGAGTAAAAGACTTTTAAATTACACATTATTACTCTTATTTTCATAATTATGTTACTTTTCGCTACGTTCAAAACTTTGTGAGCACATAGCCAAGCTTTTAACGTTATGAAATAAGTGACGATTTTTACTTACACCGTTTTAATAGTAACCTAAAAAACGTTTTACCCCAAAGAATCTTAATCGCACAGATTATAACTGGTAACTAAAAAAAAAGAAACATTTTGTCCCAGCATCAACATAGTCACAGAGCATTTAATTGTAACGACCCACAAATTCTAGCCTCAATTAACCGTAAATCCCTTCCCGGTATAGATGGTCGTTAAAGATACACAGAGGGCCGTATTGTGGTCCTAAATCATAAGGTCTAATGTCCAATCAACGTCTCGGTTACATCTTACTAACTTCGCCTCCGACTTTGCTTTATGATTTCGGATTCCGGTTTTCGAACCTTGTAGAATGTCACGTACATAAACTAAATACGCAAAAATTATTTTCTTCTAAATATCTATCAGTATAATACCTTTAGCGATTATACCTAGAGTATTTAAGTATTTAGAGTATTTTACAAGCTTAAATTTTAAAAAGGAAACAAAAAAAGCAACTATTTATTGCTGATACCATTTTTGAATAATTTTAATTGATTTACCATCCTATGTCACCCCCGTAACTAAGACGAATATCATAACACCTCAAAAGTTGAAATCTTCAATTCTCAAACCTTACATATATTCTAAAAAAAAATTTTTTTTATATTGTCAACATTTTCACGATACACTTTACGAGAATAATTAAATAACAGAGTAAAATTGATTTGCTACCATTTCTTCAAATGGTCCGGATCTGATCGCATCAATTCGCTACACAGTATACAGCAATTAGCGTTGCCATAGACAAATTTTATAAGACTCCTCTCCCTAAGTGCGCAATAAAGCAATAAAATCCAGTGATCTATGGTCCGTTCGACGACGCGTCGACTTTATAGCTCAATTCGATCCTATTCCTAATTTATAACGATTATCATTCACTACCATAAACATCCGTCGGTGGTCTCCCGGATCGTCGGGATGGCAATATTACGAAATTAAAAAGGAAACATGTCGCATCTACTATTTGTTTACAGTATCTTTAGATGGAACGATGGAAGGATCTAATCGTTTTCGGTGTTACTGTCAGGATATCTATTTTCTAAATTTATACCACCTTAAAAAATCCTAAACCCACATAGATCGTAGCCCTAGTTAAATACGTTATGATGTCAACCACCTTACTTCGGTCCACGACCATATCAAGCCGTAAAGCCTTGATATCGGGTATATAAAAAGGAAAAATTCACGTATCAATCTTATCCAACAACAAAAGAAGTCGTTGCATTGACGTCGAGCGGTAAGATTTTGTGCCTTTCGCGAATGGCAACACAAAAAAAAACATGGCAGAAAGAAGCGGGACGCGATGGAGTTGCTGCGGGTCCCCGGAACGAAGTGGTGTGGCAAGGGATTCTCGGCGACGCACTACTCCCAGCTGGGCGGCTACACGAGGACGGACAGATGCTGCCGCGTCCACGACCTGAGGTGCCCCTTCTGGATCGGTGGCATGGAGAAGAAGTACGGCCTGTACAACTGGCGCGTGAACACGCTCATGCACTGCCGCTGCGACGAAAGGTTCGTACAGACTATAAACGAGTGTAAACGCAAGCGCGCCAAAATCGGGACGATTTAGAGGGACGGCAAAAAATCGATAACGAAATGAAACTATTTTTACATATTAGTCACACGTTGAACTTCGCCGTAAGGAGTTCGAAAAGACTGTAATTAAAGTTAAAAATGAACGCGATAAATCCGTAGAGATAGTTTCATTTAGTAATATGTAGTCGCGTTAATACAATGAAATACTCTAAAATTAATTTATTAAAATTCTGTCGCATCTTAATATAGATTTTACAGTATATCGTACAAATCAACCAAGTATTTTTTTGGATGTAGGTAAAATAAAATTTAGCGGTAGTGATATATAGCAATGGCAACGGCTCTTTAATACTCAGCTTATATCGATAAAAATCCATTAAATTTAGTGATTGATAATAATTAGCGATATTGTACAAAACAAAACCACTCAGCGATAGTTACGTATATAATCTGTGCTTAGTAAATTGATCTTCTAAGCGTTTATAGTAAAACTTTTACAGGTACCGATTAAAAGTTCAGTAGAAAATACAATGGGGTTAGTGGTGACCCCTTTGTATCGAGATCGTTAGAAACTGCGGCATAGCTAGAGTGCATCTTGGACGAATTGTTCACGCCATTAAACTATTGAATCAAATTGACGCCAAGTTGTAGTCGTTAGAGGAAATTGTTCTCAAAGTAACGACTTCACTATTGTTACTGATTTTCTTAACGGTTCAAATATCTTGATCAACTCTCGCTTTTCTAATTTCTTTATTTTTTTTTTAAATGAAATGGCGCGAAAACATAAAAGCAATAGGACGGGTTCAACAAAATGTTTTTTAGTGATTCTTTTAGCATGGCTTAGTGTTTGTGGTGTATTACGTGCTTGTTTTTTGTCGTTGTATTTATGCATTTGTCGCATGTATTTTCTATCGTATATATTATTTAATGTTGATTCTAATAAACTGCAGTCAAGTTATAAATATTGTGTTTTAAGTACAAAGGATAAATGATTGAAGAGTTTTCCGACCAGAAATATTACTTTGTTTTCGTGTATACCATAGATCTTTTTTTGAAATGAGAACATGAATAACAGTATAATCGTTTACTGACCAGACAATTCTCTCCCTTTCGGGCCGAGTGCTTCTCAAATAACTTTAAATGATTTCATTAAAAGTCGGCACACCGACATTTCCTGTAACGCCCCTGGCTACCCTCCCGAGCTACAGAGCCCGTGAACAGATGAAAGAATGGGAGGTGTGTGAGTGTTATTTATGAGCACCAATTAGCTGGGTCCGATACTATCGGATATTTTTTTTAATTGTCCCTGCTAACTAGGAAAACGTGGAGCTGTCATTATGCAAAATAAAACGAGTTGTATCGTACAACTATGTTCTGTGCTTAAAATTGGCGATGAAACACATAGTTTTATCAAAACTGAAGTAGAAATAGAAGAAACAGCCTATACATGTCCCACTGCTGGGCAAATGGTAGGAGGGCATAGTCCACCACACGAACCCCTTCGGATTAGCAGACTTCAGCAGGGCATGCAGGTGTGTCTTCTTTCAAGTGTGTCTTCTTTCTACGCTGAGCACTTGAAAAGTCGTTCGTCAGGTGTTTTAGGAGTCCGCGGATGAAGATAACCATTTGACAAAAGTAAACCGCCTTGCTGAACTGCCACCTCATCCAACAACAAAACAACTAAAAAAGGGGTTGATGAATTGTCACTTTTCTTGAGATAAACTGTTAAAACATGTTCGGATTTCGATCCTACGTACTTCTGGATACAGAGCCCAGACGCTCTAACCGACTGAGGTAAGTGGCCAATATCCTAACGTCGCGAAAATCTCATATTTCAATATCTATTAACATTTCAGTTTCATCTTTGTGCAGAGATAACACTGTAAACAATTACATCATTAATTACGTTTCGCCGTCGCGTCGGCTTCGACGCCACAGCTTTAAATGAAATCAGAACGTCTAAAGAAAAAACTTATGACTGGTTACATTCTATCTCGTATTAACGAAAAGTCCAGTACGATGACCACTCCACCGCCGCCGCTGTCCGTGGCCAAATTCATATCTAGTGGACGTGGTGGCGCTTTTTTACCTCAACGTTTATTTATTTCATTTATAAACCATTTATTTTATACGTCCCTCTTAATGCCGGCGGAGCGTTGATGTCCGGGAATGTCTCTATTAATGTTCCACGGTGATTACGGATCTCAGATGGGCCGATCTGTTGGGACGCTAGTCTCCGTATCTTTATCGGGTGACGCTTTCGTGAATCGTTGAGTCTTACAGGTCCATCAGCCTCGATAAAACGCGAGTACACTGTAATGGGGCTGTCGCTAGAACAACTTCAGAATCAATGTAAATATAATAGTGGTCTACCGTTATGCGAGCATCACCTGCCCTTATACCTAGGTGGGGTCGGCACAGCATGTGAATCATGTTGTAAGCGGTTTTCGTTATGTTTTTTGCGACGGCCGCGGCCAGACTTCAACCCTCCTTGGGAAATAGATACAAATCCAGAGACAATAACCTATGGGTCACATGAACACTTGTCCCGTGTGGGAATCGAACCCGAGTCATCGCGAATCACTCAAATATAATTCAATTAACTCTTATAGCTTTATTTCATAGACACTTGGCTCTTATAATATCTTCATTTTATGTAAAGTTATTGAAGGTTTAAGAAACAATTTTTTTATAAACACTGCGTGATTAGTGTTGTTTTTTGCCGTTGAGAAGTGAAGAAAGCGGTTTGGTTGTATATATTATAAAAAACACGGAAAACGTCTCTGTTTTCAACTAATATCTAATAGATCTATGCTCGTACAATCAAAATAGCAACTCACGACTGTACTCGCAGTGAAAGCGAAAAGGAAGGCGCCGCATGCGTTAGCGAGAAGGCTATAGACGTACGTCCTCACACACTATGACTGCGTAATGATACGAGCTATTATATCCTGATTAACATAAATAATAATACGTTCCATTTTCAAACGATCCTCGAACAAAAGAAAAATATATCGGATACATTTCAACATTATCGACGGGATATCGAATTAATGGTGCCAACACCCTGTTGACTTGAATCGTGCCTTTAAAAAAAAACGAATCGCCAGACATCCAATTTGGGGATGCATCGAGCGGGTCGATCTTCGATATAATCTGTGCTGCGGCGATAAATGCCCCGGATACTGTCACTGATTGAAGTAAAAAAAACGAAGTAAAAAACATGTTTCGGGCAATGGACCATGACGTTCGGATAGCGTGGAATCATCCAACATGGTGTTTGATGTCGGTTAGTTAGAACACATCGAAAAGTCCAACTTCATCGTTTATCTGAGAAAAGGCTGCCAATCTCTCTCTTCTCTTTTCGAATTCAGTCTGCATCTTTTGCCAAGCATTATGTTCTGTAGTAATGTAGCTCTAGTCGTAAATTTCAATGTTTTTAAAACAAATCGGGGGCTGTATACTAACTATGCGTCCACTGTCGTTCTTCTTCATCATCATTTCAGCCCGTTTGAGTCCACTGCTGAACATAGGCCTCCCCCGTAGACTTCCACGAAGCACGATCCCGAGCCACCTGCATCCATTGACTTCCCGCACATTTGCACAGGTCGTCACTCCATCTAGTGGGGTCGTCCCACACTAGATGTAGTTCTTTATTTAAATAAAAATAAACATGTGTTGCTTTTGTATTCTCATGCTATTAACATTTCTCCATCCATGTAAACAACCTTCACACGCGTTTGAAGTAAAACCAAAAAATTCTTTAAAATAAATAGTAATAAATTTCATTAATATTGATGTATTAATTAATAATAAATTATTTTAAATGTATAGTTCAGATACAAACATACATACTTACGGCGAAAATATTTAAGAATCGAATTCTATATATTCAGTTATTTCTTAGTCGCGCCCAAAGAAGTTTCATGTCAAAAATATTTTTTTTAATAATTGTGATGCTCAATAACTTTTTTAATTTCCAGTGCTCGTCCCTGGTAGTTGAGTTTCACAATTAAACAGTTACGTTGCTTATGAGCATGGGCTATTACACGAACCAAGCTTTTCCATACTACGTTTAGAACCAGTATTCCAAACCAGTAGTGGATACGGCCATTTGGTGTGCTTTTCTTAGTTAGTGCCTTAGAGTAATTGCCTAACGCAATAGACACGTCTCGGCAAGCTTCTACGGATGTTATTGTGATACACGCTTTGCCAATTTAGCTTTTGAATAGGCCGGTGAAATACCGTATCCAGTTGGAAAAAAATAAGCTGTAAGCATATAAAAATGGATGCGCCAAGCATTGCTTCAAATGCTAAAAAACAATGTAGATAAAGATGTTGATATTTTCGTCGGTGTTGCAATCAGCCGTTTAGCTTAGTGGCTAAAGCGTCAGGCCGCGAATCCTGAAGACTTAGGTTCGATTCCTACAGCGGCGAAAAAGTTTTCTTACTTTTTTCTACAATTTTTAATGTTTAATCTTAAGTGCAGAGATTGCAGTATACAAAATTTTATTTCGAAATTAACTGATTGTTTCTTTCCAAAGTTCGATTTCCATATTTATCGCTGCGCACTATACTCCACTGTTGTAGGAACACCAGTTCCCATGACATTAAAAAAATAGCTTGTGAATTCTATTAAATCTATTACAAAGTGATAATAAGCAAAAAAGTTAAATAAATGAAGAAAAAGTTTTAATAAAGAAAACATTTTATTATTGCCATGCCTAAAGATTTTTAATAAATTGATTACGTAAGAGATACAAATAGGAATGGAAATCGAATAATAAATTACCAAAAGAAGTAACCAACAATTGACGTTGCGTTAATATTTTCTTCATTTTGTAATTTTTCCCCGTCGAATCGCTAACGAAAATGTCGAGAACACAAAAACAGCTGTCCCTGTTGACAGACGTTGAAGGAAAAAAGTTAAATAAATTAAGAAAAAGTTTTAATAAAGAAAACGTTTTATTATTGCC